TGGTGGTGGACTGGCACGAGATTTGAGTGCAGTCCTCTAATGTTGGTGAGGTGCACTTTGAGCGAAAGGGCGTGCTGCTGCTGTTGGACCTTTTTTCTATTTCCTTTTTTCATATCGTGACTATTTGTTCGGTGGGAAAACGGAAGTAGAATGTACGATTTGGCTTCAGTACCGCTACCAGTAGACACTCACATACACTGTGCATCTTATGGGGAGCAGTCTCCGAACTAGCTAGTGTCCATCGGGCCCTTTCATCCGGTCGCCAACCGGCACGATGGCGCATCCCGGGATTTTTTGCGAGTTGGCGGGGCAGCCTTTCATGATTGGCTAACCCATTACTTGGGCCCCCTACTAACTGCGGTCGGCCAGCGGTGCACCGTGCCTCGGATCCCGCTACCCTCCGAGACTAGTTACCCGATGCAACAATGATGCGTACGTCTAAAAAACGGCACTGCAGTACTGGAGCGACCATTCCGACCCGATCTTCCCAAACGGCGTCACCGGACTACGCGACTTAGTCTTAGTACCACCAGTGGGTTGTCGCCTGATTTGCACCACCCAGGGACCACGTGTGGGGTAACAGGAAAAAAAATAATTCGGGGTTTACACCCACGGACGAGGGCGACTCGGTCCCCAATAATATCTATTTCGAGATTTATTCGATTGAAACGAGAATACGGCCCCTGGTCAGGCGCTACGAATGTGCAACGCAGGATGTAATCTTATTCACAGCCGTGTTGCTATGGCAATATCGATAGGTTTACGAAATTTATCTATACATTTTTGTTTTTAGGGTTACGTACCCAAAGGGTAAAAACGGGACCCTTTTACTAAGACTCCGCTGGCCGTCTGTCTGTCTGTCACCAGGCTGTATTTCATGAACCGTGATAGCTACCCAGTAAAAATTTTCACAAATGAAGTATTTCTGTTGCCGCTATAACAACAAATACTAAAAATATAATAAAATAAATATTTTATGGGATGGATGGATATCCCATACATCAGACGTGAATTTTTGCCGTTGTCTGCTTGATATTTTAATAAAGTGTCTTATGTTGTATAGTACGGGTTCTTTTTAGGTTAATATCATTTTCTTCACTTCACAACTCAAGGTCTATTATACGTTTTCTACAGTGAAAGATATCAAATAAACGTTGAAAGTTGGCATCAGTACCTAGTGTGCGCAGAAATACAAATGTAATGAAATTAAAAAATGTATATGAAATAAATTTAATTTCTTTTCCACTTTAAGTGAAACATTCTTGTGACCACACAAAGCCTAAAGGTCGCGTAACAATAGCATCTATTTTTACAACGAAACTATGACAAAGACAAAGAATATGCTCATGACAAGGAGCACGTGTAAAACGTAAAAAGGGATTTCGATTATTCTTTCATTTAACTTTGGCATCAATGATTGTTATTCATGACTTGATGGGATTCGACATAGTATCTGTCCAATGGGGTTCTCGATTAGTGTAGTTGAATATAATTATGTATTTATCAACCGTTAAATTAAACTTATCGAAAAAATTAACACATATATTTGATAAATATTATTAACCATATCGTAAAAAATATATTTATTCAATCAATGTTCACTGTTGATTTTAATACAAGAGTAATATTAATTCGTATAGTTAAATGTTACCGACTCGTAAAATTATCTTAATGAATAATTTCAATTACGGACCAAAGTAATAAAAATATTGACCGCCGCGGTATAAATAAACTTGTGAAAAATATTCAGATATTCATTTGAATCAAAATATTAACTGATATTTTCAACCATTAAAAAAGATCTGATATTTTTATTCAACTATTAACTGTAAACTAATATTTTTTTTCAACCATTACCGCAACCTCTATTCTCGATAATCTGTTAGTTGTGTAAGGCCGAAGACATACTCCAATTAGCTTTAGGCTGGTTAGTGACATGTTATGAAATAAGTTAGCAACTATGCAACCCACCTATTTAGGTAGGTACATGGCTTCTTTAGTGTTTTTGTCATTTAATTAAGCAAGGAGCTTGAATCATAGCACCCAGCGAACGAAAGATCCATTTACATGAAATCTCCGTAAGATTTAATAGAAACGTATTCTCATACCGCCTGCAAGCACTTCGACGTCAAAAAGTCTACTGCTCGATAAGATATTTCGATATGTGGGCAACCTATCAATAATAGTTGGCGAAAAAAAATTAAGACCTTTGCAAAACCTTTTAAGAATGGTAGGGCATAGAGGATATTCCATTTGAATTGGAGCGCCCATCTGGGGAAGTAACCTTGACCTTAAAAAAGACCACAGTAAAATAACACTAACCTTTGGTGATGTTGTGTTTCTGTCGATGTTCAAGGGCTCCACGGAGTAGGAGATTTTGTCAGGGTAGGCAAAGCCGCGAGTGTTATATTTTGTATCGCAAGCGTCTAAACTTCTAAAGGCTGTGGTGGCCGAATACCGTCAGGCAAAAAATAGTAACTGCTTACTATCAGGAGGACCACAATCTTTTGCCTGCTCAATGACTGATTTACAAATACAACGATTACGTCTAGGTATCATGAGATCGACCCACATATTTGATGCTGTTTTCCACTTTGAAAACACAAAGTGATATGATACAAAACAATTTCGCCCTTCATTCGGAGTTTCGTGTTAGTGTGCACTGTGTGCAGTAATGCGATTTGATGCCATTTTGTCCTCGTAAATTTTATCGATAACAACTTTGTCTTTTTATGCAGCACACTTTTACGATGAGCGCGGGATGAAATTCTATGTGACCACGGTTTTTAAATTAGTTTATAAAAGTAGGTTATGATGTGAAATGTGCAAAAATTTGTGCACGTTCCTGTCTAGATTATCACCAATTGCTTGGTTTTGCCAATACACAATGAATATTTGCAATTTTTTTATGAATCATTGAATTAACTTCTACAAAATCTGATAAGCTTCTTAACGGATAAAAGCGACTTTACCTTAAAACATTTTTTTTTTACCTAGGACTTAGGACTGCTTGGAACGATGAAAAACTGTCTTATTCAATGAACGTAAAGTACTTAGCTTTTTTATCGAATGGAATAAACACGCTAGAGATTGTACGATGAAGGTAAATAACAAAATAAATATTTAATGCTTTTAGCCATTCAAAGGACCAGATATCTACACTAAAGTAAGTTACAAAGATGTAGGTCAGATAGAACAAATTTGTGTCTGTGAACTATTTGCAAATATAAAAAGTTTGTTTATTGGCATAGGTAGACACCTAAGCAAACAAATAAGGGTAAATATTCCAATTCCATGACAGATTGCATGTACAATGTTACTCAATCACACCAGTACGGGTGACTGAATAGAATCTATTTATCCATATAAGTATGAATAAGATTTTTTCTTTTTAAAATTCACAATAAAAATTTCTTGTTTCATAATGAACATGAATTTGTGACATCACAACCTCAATGTCATGTGTTGATTAAAACGAGAATTCAATCGTTAATTAACATAAAAGTTATTGAAGCACTCTTTTAGGTAAATATATGTATACCTGTATTAGAATGCCTCGCTCTCTCGTACGTCACAACTTGTTTACAAAAAATATTAGACTTGTCATACATAAGTTATTGTTTTTCTTATTTTATAAAATAGATTTACTTTGTACTTAAAATGGCCTTTATAACGCTATTAGTTATGAGAATATGGACCTATTGATGGTACCTATTATACAAAGGTGGCCAGCGCAAGAGATATATATGCTATTGCAAACCCCTTATCCCTTAATGTAACTTAGTACGTAGAAAATAAAAAGATAGTGGCCATATTTTTAAATGTGATTTTCCGTTTAAAATTATCACGTCTCTATTATACAGTATGACATATATGTAACACACTGTGAAAATTCAATTGTCTTCTTCCTATTACGGTGAGATTCATATCGCTGACAGATAGACGAACGGGTGGACAGATGGACGGACAACCCAGACTTTGTGATAAAGTTCCGTTATCGCCTTTGCCTTTAGGTAGGAACCTTAAATAATTACCAATTACCTTAGATGTACCAATAATAATAAGTCACCTATTTTTAATCCAGTTAAGGAAAACCTGTCATTGGCCATACTCTTACAAATGTATCTACTGTAAATTTTGTATCAGAAAAACGCTGTTAGAAGAAAACCTCTTAGAAAATAAATAAATAATTAAGTATATTGAACGAGCCAAGGAGACTATTCTGAGCAACTGGCTAGCAACCTGTCACATAATTATTCCGGACAACTTATCCCTAGTTTGGCGACATTGAGTATGAAAATACTGCAGTATCTTTAAAGAGCACGTCATAGTTTTTTACGACGCTCGCATAATGGAAATATGGTCTAAAAGATGTTATTGTAACACACATCTACCTACACCTGGAGATAAATATTGAATAGCATGAACTAACAAACACAAAGTAACGATTCATTGTGTAACGGATATAACACGTAAACGTAATATTTTGAAAATGTGTATTTACATAAGCACTTGTTAAGTATTTGTATACAGTCACGACCACGGAAATATAAAATTTTCTTTAGTTTGTCTTGAATACAATGATATATCTTGTTTATATAATATCATTGCTTGAATGTGATGTATTATACATTATTTATAGCAAAATTTTACGTTTCATTGGTCGTGACTGTTAATTATTTAAAAAAAAAACTATTTATTCCATCACACCTTAGTAAGATCGTATTTAAAACAATATATTACATTAGTAATGATGAGAAAAATTGCCATGCAGTTTAATGGTCATATTTCTCCATAGTGAAATAGCCGCCATAGACGTTCAAATAATTTGCTCAAACAGGCTGTTTCAAAAAGTTTGATCAAATACAAATTCGAAGATTCATATTTTTGTTCAAGTTCAAGCAATTCATTTTGATCAAACTTTTTGAACTAGCTTGTGTGATCAAATTACTTGAACGTCTATGGCGGCCATAAGGATGTAAGCTGGATGCCATACGTACTTGTCAGGAGGAGCGGCGTGAGGCGGCGGGGCGCTGGGCGGTTTCAGACTACGGAAGGCTTTGAGCCATTTGTTCTTCATGCTGCCAGCTGATGAAGAAGACATCTTCCTGTCCACCGCCGTGGCGCCACTGTCGGCCTTTGCGGCGAACAGCTCCCTCTGCGACAAACACGAAATGGTGCAAAATCAGACGATGCATGTCGATGTCATCAATTGAAGTAACTAGCGAACCCGATGTTGCCCAAATCACAGCGGTCAGAAACGCAGCAAGGGCATTGTTTTCTTCAATTTTAGGTCTATAGATCCTTTATTACGAAAACTTCGAATGCTGTGCAATACAGTAAGAGCTTAAATTAAATAAACATTACATTATAATAAAAAAAAATGTCGACAGTACAGTACAGTGGCATAAATTAGACTCACACTGGCAGTAAGTATCCTTTTACACATAAGCAGCTCTGGCATGCCAGTTAGTGAGATTGGGACCAGCTACTGAATCAATGTAATTTGTCAGCTGTCACCAAGTACTTAATTGTCGCCATTTTCAGATACCTATAAGTGATTCTCCAGTTACTAAATCAATCCAAATGTGTTATCTATAATATAAAAATGAATCGCTGAATGTGTTGCTAAATCTCGAGAACAGCTGAACGGATTTCGATAATTATTTTTATAGAATATTCCTTGAAGTACGAGGATGGTTCTTACGCAGAGAAAAAAAAAAAAACCTGAAAAAGTACAAAAACTACACTTTTCAATACTCCCATACAAACGATTCGTAATGATACTTAAATGTCAATTTGAACTTTAATACCATACTATAAATTTCAAATGTTAGTGGAGAGGTTCCGGAAAGGCAATACAATTGAGTGACGTGATGTCAATAGATGTTTGGAAAAGGCAAATATACCATTTTCAGTTTTTTTTATAATTATAGGAAGAGTTATTTTAGTCTACACTACAGCTCTACACCGAAGCGAAGCGAGTGAGGGCCACTAGTTGATGATAAATTTTCATTGTTTTTTACATTTACTATTGCTAAGAGTGGAATAAATAGCCAGCCAATAACTAAGTAGTTCGAACATAAAATCAACCAATTTAACTGCGTTCGTTTAATAGGCCACAGTCATGTTTTACATTTGGAAAGAAGCAATGCGTCTAGTTGGCTCCGGCTAGTGATATAGCCTCAGAACAGAAGACATAACTTTAACGAAGAAAGGAAATCCGCTAATAAAAAACTTGGCAGTGATTTTGCCTCTTGGTCTAGTTATAGCGTAGGTCATTTGCCTTGCGTGTTATGTAATGTCTACAAGAACTCAGACTATTCAAAATGCTGAACATAATCATTTGCACATAGCAATAGAATATACTATAACTAGCTGACCCAGCGAACTTCGTACCGCCCTAAAAAAAATAGGGGTTGTCCAGCGGACAAAATTGTCAATCTAAACCATTCTCAGATCCCCTTGAACACACACAAAAAATTTCATCAAAATCGGTCCAGTCGTTTAAGAGAAGTTCAGTGACATACACACTCACAGAAGAATTATATATATAAAGATAGGCAATATACTTAGTTGACAATTGCTTTTTTTTACATTATAGTATTTTGTAGAGGATCTTTAAATATGACTCTATCTTACTTCAATTCCTATCATGGTACGTACTTCTGAATTTGACATTTGAAAGATTTTAACTTTAAAATCTAGAACAGTGCTGCTAGATGAGTAAAGCGAAAACGCGGTAGGTTGAGTACAAAAATGCGGATTTGATTCCAAAAAAGCAGTATTTACGATTTGATTTTAAAAAAGTAGTAATCAAAAATTATCAAAAGTTATCTCTTCACTTTTGATCGCAGAGGAGCGACTCCTAACTGAAATTGACAATTAAACACACAAAAATTGCACTAAATTAGGCCTTTACTAAACATCAGCACAGAGATTTATTTGACTAAAACAAAAAATCCAATAACATATTTGTCTACGAAGAAGAGTTTGTTTTTGACACTGTTTCGTGCGTTCACAATAGTCTTTGAAGGTTTATTCTCAACTGTCCTTGTTATGTAGCTAGATGAGTAAAGCAAAACTCGGTAAGTTCAGTACAAAATCGCGGTTTTGCGAACAAAAAAACGGTACTTACGATTTTATATGTCTATTCGTTTTTGCTTTTTGTAATTTTGACAGCAGTATATCGTTATCCTGCTCTATAATAGGGAATGAAAAGGAATGATTGCTGTAAACTTTACAATAATCAAATGGCTAGTCAAGCTATGTGATTTACCAGCTTTAGGTATAATACGTTTGCTAGCATAAAGCCCGCTGACGAAAAGGTGGATAGCGGAGACTTAATAATGGAGTTCCGTTGTAGCCCTTTGTGTAAACAATCCAAAGAAGTAGTAAATGAAGAGATAACTTTTGATCGAAGAGGAGCGACTCATAACTGAAATTGACAAGTAAACATACAAAAATTGCACTAGAATAGGCCTTACTCAACATCAGCACAGAGATTTATTTGACTAAAACAAAATCCAACAACATCTTTGTGTACAAAGAAGAGTTTGTTTTTGACACCGTTTCGTGCGTTTACAAAAGTCTTTAAAGGTTTAATCTCGACTGTCCTTGTTATTTTAGTAGTATTACTACGCCTTAAATGTTTTATTGGTTGGTAATCCAACTTCTGTCGTTGAAATTTCACAGCCAACATTCGTAATGCTTGTGCGAATGATACGCAACACGAAAAGGTCTTGGTGTTCCAACTGGTGTACCCCGTCAATATATTCATCGTACCTAAAATGTCATCGAGCGATACGCCTGAAATAAAACTATAGTCCGGAAACTGTTACGTAGGTATTCACTACTTCTGTTTCTCTTAGTGAGTACTGGATTTAATTACAATTTGTAAGCTCATGTTTAGCTTAGATGCTTCTGAAGGTAGTTTCTTGTATTAGTTTCACTCCCCTAATGGTAATTTTTTTAACTTCCTTTCAACCGAGTGTTCCTCGATACTTACGTTTTTTGTTTTAAAATATTGGGTCATAAGCACATTTGTTATAGAAATAACAGCGAATTTGATTAGCGACATCACGCAGATTAAATCAAAGCTTAAAACGGAAGCTCTTAAAAAGCTAAGTAAGTTTCACGGCTGCATATAAACGTATATATTTATGGAATTTGATAAGTTTCGTCTTCAAATTTGAAATAGTTTATTTAGGTCTAGGTTACACATTTACGAAGATCATAAGTTATAGAGAGTCCGTAACGTCAATAAAAGACTTATATAAAAATATAAAGCATCTGGTGAAAATAATCGCGGTGAAGATATATACATATAACAGTACGTATACATCTTCACCGCGTGAAGATATACACATGTATAGATATAACAGTCTATAAGAAAAAAATCTTAACGTAGATGTCATTGAGTTAAAAAGTTAAAAATCCCTATCAAGTAGAGTTTCTAGATGGAGAGAAGAACGAAACTGCTTAGCAATCCACAAATTCCCCGTGCCAGGTGTTATCGTAAATTTTAGGTATAAAAATAGTATAATATTTAGATAATGAAGAGATAGCAGCAATTATATTAAAAGCTATTTTTTCTTCCCACCATTGCATCGATAGAAGGTAAATACAGGTGGCGCAAAAGTAATCCATCTATAGATGTTATATAGATATGGTATGTTATATGATTGGATATGATGTTAGAGGAAGATGTTATATTTATTGCATATGGCGTACGTTAACGTACGTTAATAATAATGGAAATTTGTGAACTACAAAGATGCAGAATACAAACAGACAAGTAATGGAACTCGATACTCTGCAGGAGCGTGAACAAGAGTGGTTTAACAAGACGGCGCAACCGCACAGACAGCACAACTTCATTTTAGTGATTTGCTCAGCAAGTCTCAGGCAATCGCAGCCCTTAAATAATCTTTCGACAGGAATGCGAACAGTTATCACCGGACATCTCCGCAAATCATGGAAAATGCGATAAAACGGGCACAATGTGTATCAGCACTGGCGGCAGCCAATCGACCAAAACATCTTTTTCACTTCACAGAAAAAAAAATTAAAGGTCCTCATAAAGATTTCCATCAATCAAGATATTTTTTATTTAGTAGAAAAAGTTACACAAAACAAATCTGGATGATTTCTTTTGTGCCACCTAGTATAGTATGATTTAGAGATTTCCAACGAATTCCGAAGCACGTGTAATTGCCATCCATGAATACTACATTACATGAGTGTGTCGAACGCCAGTCACAATTATCGGAAAGTTTTTTATCAAATATTCATGCTTGAAGCACTTTTCCTAAATCTCTTAAGTCATTTTAGAACAGAGAATAACAAATAATTGTTTTGAGTCTAGGTTCCTATTTACAGCCGAGACTATTTAGGCCATCTTGATCTACTGTTCAGACAAATATTGTTTAAGAAATTTCCATCCAAATTGATTCATGAAATGTGAAAACCTGAGAGCTCTTGTCGCTTCCAATATAATTGTGGAATAAAATTGACGCTTAGGGTTGTGGCGTGTCATCCAGACTTTATTAAATAAGTATGCACATATCGATAATATTAAAAACTCGATAAGATAGAAACTGGTGACGGAAAATCAGCCACTCGTGACTTTATTAGTTGATAAATTCATTCTATGCAAAACAATATGTTCCAGATAGCAGTGCTATGAAAATTTTCCGTTCCTGAGAAGTAAAATCTTCTATAATAAGCCGAGGTCAAGTTTTGTAGTCTGCTATACAATTTTTTGCTGTGTTAAGAATACTGCATTTTTCAGATTGTAGAATCACAAAACAAAATAAATCACATTTGAATCAGGCAATATTTAGCAATTTTTAATAGTATGAATACTTCTCTCGTATTATCAACCAAATATATTGTCCTTTAAAAGTACACAGTTTTTCCTCTGAATTTTGACCGTGTATTTGCGTAAATAACTGCCACCTTGGAAAAGATCGTATTAATAACACGATTTTTAGATTTGAGCAGTGGCTAAAGATTTAAGAGTTCTATATTATAGAGATTGGGGTATGTATAGGCAAATATAGTGTGAGTTTTCTGGTATTGCAAGACCCAAGGTGCATGCTCGCACGTTGCCTTCAACGGAGTTCCACGAGCAGAGACATAATTATGCTTGTTTGC